TTAATTTTGAGGCAGGGTCTAAGTTGCCCAGGCTGGGCTTGAAATTGAGATCCTCCTGGTTGAGTCTCCTGAAGTGCTGGGTTACAGGTACGTGCCAGCCACACCTGGTTAACTGAACAACCTTGATAGAGTGGACCCTTGACTTAGGCAATTTGTTGAGAACTGGTTGTAACTCGAGTTGGTAATGGAAGGCCCAGGCTCCTCTCCACAGACTCCAAAGTCTCCTGCACACAGGCAGATCTCACTGTCCTTAGAGAGACACTGGCCCAGGACTTCTCAGTGAACCCCACATGGGAAAGGATCTTGTAATTTTCCTTTCAGAACTCTTTAAAGAGTTAAATCTGGCAGCCCGGCGTGGTGGCACACACCTGTAATCCCAGCACTCAGGAGGCTGAGGCAGGAGGATCACTGTGAGTTCAAGACCAGCCTGGGCTACACAATGAGTTCCAGGTCAGTCTCACTACATAGTGAGACCTGGTCTCAAACAAAACAAAACAAAACAAAAGTTAAATCTGTATTGGAGACCATCGGGAAGCACATGCGGCTGGCACTGGGGTCCTAACTCAATATTCTGGTCCTAAGTTAAAACTAAAATTCCAGTCATAACCCGTTGTATGTCAGGCAGGCCAGTCGTCACTCAAGGGTCTGCTGTACATTACTTCCTTTACCTTACTTCTAGAAAATAGAGACAATAAGACTTAAAATGTTACTTTTTTAATTACCAGGGTATTCATCACATCATTTTATGTTCCTATGAAAAATAACAACATAACTGGCCACTGTTGGGAGACCAGGAAGCCACTGGCAGGCTGTTAAAATGAAGTAGGCAGGACATTTACAGCATACTTAAAGCAAGTTTAAAGACCTGAGTCTTGTGTAACCAATTTGGAAAACAAAATTATAAAAATTTCCATTCCAAGCCGTGCGTGGGGGTTCACACTTATAATCCCAGCACTTGGGAGGCAGAGGCAGGAGGAATGCTGTGAGTTCAAGGCCATGAACTACAAGAGTTCAGGGTCAGCCCGAACTACAAAGCGAGACACTATCTCAAACACAATTTTTTTCCATCCCAGATCTAGGTACATAGACCCTGGAGAAATCCTTGTAAATATACATGACTAAATTCATAGCAGCCCTGCTCAAAATAATAACAGAAGTGGAAATGGTCCAAGCAGCTCTCAACAGAAGGATTTTTTTTTCTTGATGGTCCATTCACACTGGGGGAAATTACATAGCAAGGGAAATGAATGAGCCGCTCTTGTGGGGGAGATCTTAGAGATGTGAGCAGGGTGAAGACAGTGTGGGCAGATGAAGGAAACTGTACAATCCACGGTGTGGCTTCGGCACAGCACCCAGAACCCCACTTCTCAAAAGAGACAGCTTTCGTCTGTCCCAATGATTAAAGTATGAAACTGAGCACAGTGATGCCAGCCTATAATCCTAGCACTCAGGAGGCTGAGGCAGGAGGATTGCTCTGAATTCAAGGCCAGCCCGAACTAATAGCAGGACCCTGTCTCAAAAATCTGAATTAAAAAAAAAAAAAGTTTTAAAAGGAGGCTGTGAATTTAGCTCAGTGGCGCTGTCGCCTGCCTCGGAAGTGCAAGGTGCAGAGTTCGATCCTTGGTACCAAAAAAGATAAAGTTTTAAAAGCAGAAGTCAAGAATAACGATCTGTACCACTATCTGCATCCCGGCCTTGCTTGGTTTTTATTTTTTCACTTTTGTTTTTGAGACAGGGTCTCGCTGTGTAGTCTAGCCTGACCTCAAACTCACAGTGATCCTCCTCCCTCCCCACCACCACACCTGGCTTTTCTTTTTTACTAAGTCACTTACGCATAGCACATCACTGTATGTGTAAGTGCATATGTAAATGTCAGGATGAAGCCACAGGGACTACCGGCCATGGTGTCCCTGCAGGGCAGCGGTGGGGCAGGAGGGCTGGGGCTATCTTTACTTTATAAACTTTTTTTTTTTTTGGTACTGGGGATTGAATTCAGGACCTTGAGCTTGCCAGACAGGTGGCAGAACCACTGAGCTAAATCTCCGGCCCCTCCTATAAACTTTTTAAAGCTTTATAAACTTCTATGATGTTTGCACTGTACTAATTTGATACATTAGCAATGTTCTGTTTTTAATCAAAACAAACATCAGTGAAGGGGCTGTGGGGCAAGGTCCACCCTTGGAGCTGTAAAAGCACCCGCCATTAGGAAGGAAATGGGCCTCCCCGAGGGAGGAGTGGGCACACGCTTCCTGCCTGCCCAGTGTCTTGGGTCACCACTTTCTGACCCTCAGCCCAGTCCCGCCCAGGTGCTGGTGGCCACCCTATGTCCCACCCCACCCCACTTATGGGGGGGCGGCAGTCAGGGGAGCCCTGATGACCCTCTCCAAGGGGCGCACGTCAGAGGCTGCGTCTAAGGTAGAAGCATCCTGTCTCCAGCCCTTCTCCCCACTCCAAGCCATGGAACCCAAAAGTGAGAAAGGGTGCCTCAGCTCAGCCTCAGGACCACAGTGGGACCTGGCATGACCCCCCCAGGCCTGTGACGTTCCTGGGCCCAGGGCACCTGCAGTAGGCTCTGCTCAGGGCTGGCTTCCCTTGGGGGCCCTGGGAGGGGGAGCCTGCACCCCAATAGTGAGGACCGGGAGCTCCACATTGGCTGCCCTCTTCTGCACCAGCACTGTGAACACACCCCATGGAATCCATGAAATAACCCATGCCACTGTTATCCCAACTTTCCAGGGGAAACTGAGGCTCAGGTCAATACTCCAAGCCTGGGAGCTTGGCCAGCCCCGACAGAGACACTGGGCGGATGGGGGCCTTGGCAGCCCTGGTGGCCCTTGCTGACCTGCCGGTGCCAGGGCTCCCCTCCAGGCCCACACCATGGCCTGCAGGGGCCCACATTGCTTGAGCCCGTCCTGCCCCGGTAGCAGGGGTGCTGCATGTGACCCACACCCACACTGTCTGTCCTTAGCAAAGGTGTAAGTTGTATGGATGCTGCGTCTGGAACCCAGGGTCCCGGGTACACTAGCAGGTGCTCTACCATGGAGCTATGCCCCCGGCCCCTTAGCAAACTTCTCTGTGCTCTTGATCAATTTCCCCTCCCACAAGGTCCCAGAAAGAGCCCTAAGAGAGCTCGTCTACCACCCAGCTCCCAATCTGAGGCCAAAGCCAAGGCTCCCCCTGGGGCCTCACATACCTGGCTAGGAACCAGGCCTGGGGACTCTTCAGAGCCCAGAAGGAGCCCGCAGAAGGGGTGTCTGGGGAAGAGAGGTGGGGGCCGGGTCACAAGGGGCCCCATAAACGCTGCTCCCAGACCTCATGAGGGTTCCGCCCTAACACGGGCAGCCTTGGGCTGAGTTCACCACAGTCAGGACGCCCAGTGTCCCGGCCCCGTCTGCAGAGATGACGCTGCCACTCTGAACAAGGGACCGCTGGGACTCGGGGCGCAGGTGGGCCTCGAGAGTCCATGGGGGGGAAAGGACCAGCGTGTGGGCAGGAAAGCAGGCCCCGGGGTGGCTGCACTCAGGGGTGCCCCGCTCCTCCTCCTCCTCAGGGATGTGGGGTGACCCCTACCCACCGCTTACCTTCTGGCAGCCACAAAGTGGGGAGCCCACTCAGCTTCACCGCCAGAGCCCGAAGCAGCTGCCAGAGCTGCCAGGGAGCATCTCTGCGCCTGGAGGAAGTGGTTGGTGGGTTCCTCCCTGAAGGTTGCCACCCCAGAAAGACGACTGTTTGTGCCACCCAGCAGTAAACACCGCACCCCGGGGCAGGGCCAGGACAGAGGAGGCTCTGTATCCTGGGTCCAAGGGCTGGGCCAGCATTTGCTGGAGGATGGAGGAAGTGGCCACCTCCAGGGAGGGCATTCAAATCTCTCAGGGCTGCGGTTTCTGGGCCCTTGGACACCCAGGGGGAGGTCACGAGCAGGGAGACTTGAGAGCAGAGAGCCTGCTGCCCACCATCAAGCCAGGGGAGGGCCAGCTGAAGAGGGTGATCCCATCTAAAATGATGGCTCCTACAGACCAAATGCCAACCATGCAGCCGGGTGTGACCTCTAATCCCAGCACTCGGGAGGCTGAGGCAGGAGGATTGCTGCAAGTTCAGGGCCAGCCTGGATTCAGCCATCACCTTGCTCCCCCCGGTTGGGGCTCTTCTGCCTCCTGGGCCCACCTGGTACTGGGCAGAGAGCAAGGGCAGTGCTTTGGGGCAGTGCTAGGTCTCTCCTGAGAAGGCAGGGCAGGAGGGAGTGTCCCCAGGTCACCGGAGCCCTTAGCACGACTGACCATGTCATTCATGAAGTCTGGCTCCTCGGCGGGGAAAAGGTGAAGCATTTCAAGTTGCTACCTGCAGAGCAGGAAGCTAAATCCAACTCAGGTCACGTATGATTCCCAGACAAGGCTGAGACCTAGAAGCCCAGGCTCTGACGTTGGTCTCCCAACTACAGAGGGAAGGGGTGGACTCCTCCTGGGTGGGGGGCTCTTCCCCTTCGTGCAGGCTGAGGCCCTTGGCACAGCTCGCAGGTTCAATTCCTCCTGACTCAGCCTCCCATGGCTGAGGCCACATTGGTGGTTGGGTGGTGGAACGGCTCCTCCATTTCACAGGTGAGGAAAATGAAGCTCAGAGATGGAAGAGCTCTGGCCTGAGGTCTGGGCCTCAGCCAGGGCCAGTGTAGGCCTCACTTCCGGGACAGCAATATCCTCACAAGGTTGCCCTCCACCTTCCTCTCTATAAAGCACCAACCTCAAGGTCACAGGGCATTTAACTGCCAAGTTCTTTGGAATCTGGCCCTGGGCCTGCAAGGTGATGTGGGGTGGAGGAATTCCCTCCCTTCCCACCCCATCCTACAAGGCCCTGCCTGACTCCGTTCCTGCGGAGTTCAGGGCAGGGGTCCCAGAAGCATCCGGCTCGGCCCATCTCCCGGGCTAGCACAGCTGTGAGGCTGGCAGGAAGGCTGCAGGGCAGAGGGGCGCATGCTGGGAAGGGGCACAGGGCTTGGCCAGCCCTCCGGTCAATAGGTGAAGGGCCTGTCCTATGCAGAAAGCCCCAGTGCCCACCCCGCACACAGGACCACTCCAGACAGTCCAGAAAATGCGTTTACCCGTACGCTCCGGAGACAGCCGTGATGGTCACGCTCAGAGGCCCCTGGCCCCACAAACCCTGGGCCCCTGGCTGCCCCGACCAGGGCCCCAGCCTGAGAAGGTGGCACCAGAGGCAGGGAGAGGGAGTAGGGGGTGGACGGGGACTGGCACAGGTCGTGATGCTGGTGAGTGGGGCCATTGGCCCCAAGGGCGAAGGCCACTTGAGAGACCTGGTGGTGGGTGGGCTGAACCCCCAAATCAAGACATGATTTCTCAGGGAGTGGGAGTGGAGAAGACGCCCCTCCGTCCCCCTCAACGCCTAAGGCTGGAGACGGCTCTGGCTGTCCCCAGGGTGGGGCAGGAAGGAGCCGGAAATCCACCCAGCGTGTGGCAGGAGGCGGAGGCATAAACTAAACGTTCTCAGTGGAGTGTGGTGGCCTGGGATGGGACGCCGGCCGGGTGGAAGTGTGTGGCCGGCAGGCGTCAGGTGGCGGCTACTCGGCTCTCCAGGACGGGTGGGCGAACACGATTGGCCTCTTCTTGGCCCAGCGCGAGAACACGGCCTTCTCCGTGATGAAGCGATGGGCGCTGCGCGGTGCCCGCTCATGTGCCAGGTACATCTGGCACTCGTCCAGCCGGCCCTTCTCGAAGTAGTGGTAAGGCACCGAGGGGTGGCTCCGCTCCCTGCAGGGCGGGGACACAGCCAGTGGGACACTGGCCACCCCTCCCCGGGTGGCCCTGTGGAGCCCGGATGGTCCTGAGAAACGGGCCCTCGTTCCCTGTGCAGAGGCGGCCAGCCCTGCATGCCCCACCTGCTGCCCAGGGGCCCCAGCAGGCCCCGCAGGCCACCAGTCTGGCCAAGGCCGGGCGCTAATCAAACGAGATCCAAAGTGAAGAGATGTGAACACTGGGGCCTCCCGGGAAAGAAACAGAATGTAACAGTGTTGCAAAATACCCTCTCTGGAGCTGAAGTGGAAGTTAGGAGGCTGAAACAGTAACAAAAGAAAAAACTTATCTGTAATTCATCAGGGTACCTGTTATATATCTACCCATCCGCTATATCTGTGCCAGACACTTTTCTAGATTGTTCTCTCTAAATGATTCAATAACCTTCTCAGAAAAGGTGCAAAGGTCCCCGTGCTGGGGACAGAAACTAGGAATTAGGGCCTCAAGCTTGTTCGGCAAATGTTCTACCACTAGTTACAGCCCCAGCCCAAAAAGTTCAATTTGTGTGTGTGTGTGTGTGTGTGTGTGTGTGTGTGTGTGTTACTGAGGATTGAACCCAGGGCCTTCACACTGAGCTACACCCCCAGCTCTAT